ACGGCTTGTTTACCAAACTGTCTGTGTCCAGTTTGACGAAACGCTGCCGACTGAAAGTATTTCAGCTGTTACACTGCTTCCTTACCGGGCCACAATTGACCGGTAAGTGATGTCTCGTGTTTGCAAGCCATAAAGTTGTAGTGCGCATTAGCGAGGGTGAGTTGAGTAGATTAGGTACCGCGTATTGAAAATTTTTGGCAACTTAGACCCTAAGATAGACTGTCAAATCAAGTGAAACTGTCCGCAAAACAGATCCCTCATCGATCTGGGCACTAGGAGAGCTTTCTTTCACGGTAACAGCAGTCTTCCATCCCAGTAGTAAGCTTTCCATTTTGAACTCCACAGACGACATTGTTCCACTGAGTGATGGTACAGCAAAGCTCTCTCTCGAATAGATTGAATTTTGACTTTGCCATGTTCGGTACGCGTTTAGCATCTTCAAAGTGTGAAAGGTCGATAACTGAAGGAGTTAGTGCGGCTCCCGACTTCACTTCAACTGTGGAGGCGACAAAGGTCGGTAGAATTCACCGATTTGACAGCGAAATTTCTTCTTGAATAAATTGTTCGGACGCATTCAGTAGGCTGTTGTCAGCTGCCAAATTCTGACAGGTCGCGGTGATAACCGGCAGTCCGTGAAAGGTCGAATGTGAGTTGCAGTTATGTGGTGTAAACACACGGTCATTAGGAGTAGACGATGAACAGACTATCGATTTTAGAACACTGTTGTTTACATAGCAGTTTGGTGGGTCAACCGGATAATGATTGTCGTAGGCAGACGAAAAGATCAAGAAATCTTTCTCGAGGACTGACTTTAGATTACGGTGACTGAGGTGTGTGCTATACATCTGACCGTATAGGACTTTTAGACGTGTGATATTTTCCAAAATATATGATGGTTATAAGCAATTAAAAGACCGTCACATTAATTTAACGTGAGGCATTGAGAACGTTGACCCACGAACTTAAGGATGTAGTGTGTGTTAGACTTTTTGCTTCTGGTCTACGAGTTTAGCCATTTAGCCTTTTCAGGTGAACTCATGGATAACCGTTCGTTTATCTGTTTTCACTTTATACACACATCTAGTTTACTCATATTCTGTTAAAAATTTTATCTGGAATGTCTCGGTTCGTGAGATTCAACAAGGTTAGCCTCGGAACATTGTATTATATAGATTCATTTCCTCCTATGAAACTTTAGAATATCACATACATCGAGGACAGGGTTTGTTACCAATCAGTCAGCTTGATCTAGCTCGCTCAAAACCGGCTTCGAAGCGGTTCACCTTATGCTGAATCAAGTATTCTGTGTAACTTCCTCATTTTAGGTTTGGTGCGGATGCAAAAAGAATTTCTCATGGGCTATTTACAGGCTGTCGATGGTGAAAGGGATCCGGAAAATCTGTTATTGATTTTTGAAATGAATCCCATCGTGATGAAACACTTCCCAGTCGGTAAGCTTCAAATTTGTTCTCGTTCTTATCAGTCGCTTTGTGTGTGTATGCGGCCCTGCAGTCCCGGTTGTTTAAATACCGTAGTTCCATTATTCTCCGAGTTACGCACCAAAGTAACCTGGATACCCTCGGGTGCCAGGTGCGTCCCCGGGTTATGGATAGGGGGATACCTTCATTGAAGAAGGTTAGCTGTGAGTACGTTGTGGCATACAGCGACGGCACTACCAGGGTGTGGTGGGTTTCAGGCTGGTCACCTGGCTCCTGTTTAAAAGCCGAATAAGCCCAATGGCGGTGTGACTGTCCTTTTAAAGCTAAAGCCATTGACCCCCTCATTTCTGAGGCAAGGGATTACTTCCTGCTGCCTTGCAGTTCGCACTTGGTTGTGCAAAGACTAGAGGTGCACCCTCAAAATAAAAAGCGCTGAGTGACCCTGGGGACGTCTCTCGTACCAAACTCCCAAGGAACTCCATGATCTTGATCGTGTCTGGAGCCGGTTTATCCTTTCCGAGGAGCCAGCCGCAGCAAAGTAAAGTAAAGTAAAAGTAAGACACGATAGCAGAGACTGGAAGTTGTTTTCCGCTTCATTCGTCATTATTTTTACTGGGTTTTGTTATCCATCCGGTGATTGATGACAACGTTCGAAAAGAAGCTCCTCAACATATGTCTTGAATAAACGTATGCACTTTACACTTTAAGATTTAAACTACACAGATGACAGACCGCACGCAAGGTAGTGTATTCTAATAAAAGATCGGGTTATAGCTTTTACCTTTCAGGAATTTGGTGGGGGGTGGGGTTGGGTGAAGAGAAAAGCTTAAGTTACGCTATTGGCTATCCATGATGAGGGTTGATCTAGTGTTAGTTTCCTGACTTCTGGAGGGGAATAGTTGGGGTAACGGTGGTCGGTGTTTTTTCATTTTGATAGTGAAGGAACGAAGAGATGGTGATCCGAGTAGCAGCGGTTGAAACATAGTGTAGTGAAGTCCAACGGTTGCGTTATCTGTGGCTGGGATGCGTCTGGGTTCGGTACTTCGGAAGACAGATTTGTTTAAAAAGATCTCATGTTTGATCTACCCTGCGGTCCGCAAGGGAACCAAACAATAAGAGTATGAAGTAAACAGCTAGAGGAACAGATGAAGTTTTATTTAAAATACTTCTCATTTGTTGAAAATAACTGTTTAAAGAAACTAGATAGAT